TTAAATAAAAGTCAAATTTAATTACCAAAAAATATTTTTGATCTATGAATGGAAAATATTTTTTAATATCTTAAAATAATTCTATTCATATTTTTTTTAGGAGAATTCTATTCATGTTTAAAATAAACAATGACCAACTCGATTCTTTTATAAAAGTCGAGTCTTATAAAAACATAGTAAAATAAGATTCGACTAATACAATTAACTAAATTTTCCGATAAAAATTAACGATGGAAAAAATCGATGAATATTTCACTCAGTGAGGGTACTCGTTGCCACAAAAGCAAAGCCTAACAAGGATGTTGGAAGCTCACTTGACAGAGAATTTTTCAAAAGCTTCTTGAATGTATGTTTACCTTTTCAGTATATTATTCAAACTTATTCAAGATATGGCACGCGAGAAAAAAGAGCAATTACATGATAAATCGACTCGGACAAAAAAACAATTACTAAATGTTTATGAATCTTTTTTTTTGTTGGGTAAAAGGTTCTAAAGCGTCCACAAAATGCTGGGAGGTTCAACTTCACCACACAGTTTCCTAACTACAGAGAAGTAACTTACAAGCCAAATTTTCAAAATAAAACACTGGGGAAACCTGTTGTGTTTGACATGGACATGAGTGCAGGCGATTTTCTAGCTCTATTTTACCTCCTAAAAGTGCCGGTTCAAGTAATCGACCTTAAGGTATTTGATTTTTTTCATTTTTTTTTATTATTTCTTTAAATTTAATTGTTCTACATTAAACCAAATATTGACACTAAGATAGGAAAAGTTGCGCAAATGATTTCTTTTTATGATTTTAGCTCAAACAGGAATTTTTCTACTGTTAAGTTGGGGACTTACGTTACTTTCTACCTTACACTTGAAAATCCAAGTTCTGTTATGATGAAAAATATACCGATTGCACTCACAGAAACATCTTTGGATTCAGGCAATCATTGTCAGCCCTACTGGATGGGCTAGTTCAGCAACAATAGATATCATCTATGACATACTTCACATGATGGGTCGTGACGATATCCCAGTTGGTCTAGGAGATGTTTTTGCAACGAATCAGTCAGATCCAATATTCTCAGCTGTTGGAGAATGCAAGTATGTTAAGGCCATTCCTCATGGAAGTGGGGGGTTACTCGACTCTGACACTCTTTATGGTCTTGCTCGTGATCTACCACGCAGCCCAAGAAGGTGCTTTCAATTACTTTTATGGATTTAAATTGCTCACAAGCATTACAATGCATCAGAAGATAGTATAATGGAATATATATGTCATGCAGACATGAATTAGACAGACTATCTCGTAATGAAATTGATATTGCAAGATAAATCTAAAATGGACCACGCCATTGTGAACTCACTCCTATAGCTTTATCACTAATAATTGTTACTTATGTTTTATGAAGTACTCCAGTGTTTGTTACTAGCAATTGACCAACACATTAAGAACCATTTCAGGTATACAGCAGAGAATTCTGTGAAGTTTGGGGCTCCTCGGGATACGGATCACCCTGAACTAAGACAGCCACTAGCCATGGAAGTTTGGGAGTCTATATTGCAAACAACTAAACCCAAGTCTAAGATTACAGTATTAACCAATGGACCCTTGACTAATCTGGCAAAGGCTGTATCAATGAAAAACATGAGCTCTAGAATTGAGGTGAGTCATAGTATATATAAATTTGTTATCTATCTAACCCACTTACTAACTCATCAATATTAAATTTTATATACATAAATAATTTATTAATTTATTTTACCTTAATTATGAAAACAATTATTAAATAAATAAAAAAATTAAATTTACACTATAGTATAAATTATTGATCATAAATAAAAAAATTAACCCGGTCGGGTAGCCCGGCCTACCCCGGGTTCCAAATCTATTTGAAATAGTTATATATTTCAACAAAAAAATCAGCTGCTATGAAAGTGGAATAGAGTCACTAACCCAGGAAAAAAAAAAATCTGGTCATTTTGGTAAAATTAGCCGAATGGAAACACTTATTGTACTGATAGCATGGAATAAAAATTCCAAAACGTTGCAGGAGGTCTATGTAGTGGGGGGACACATAAGCAGCAATGCAAATGACAAGGGAAACATCTTTTCAGTTCCTTCCAACCAATATGCAGAATTCAACATGTTCCTTGATCCTTTAGCAGCCAAGACAGTGTTTGAATCAAAAGTTAACATGACACTCATTCCACTGAGTACACAGCGCAGAGTAAGTTCGTTTCCAAGCATCATAGGCGAGTTGCGAAGGACACCAAGAACACCCGAGGCTGTGTTTTCCGAGCGTCTATTGTCAACTCTATACCGTTTAAAGCGAACCCATTACAGATATCAGCATATGGTATAATTTTATTTTATTTTTTCTAGCTTAGTCCTCTTTCACATTATAACTTCACTAGTTATGCAAAAACTTCATTATTGCTTGTGGCATAAAAAGGAGAATAACCAACTTTAACATGATGTCTCTTTTGTGTTTGTAGGACACATTCTTGGGGGAAATTCTTGGTGCAGTTGTGTTGGGTGATAGGCGTTCAGGTCTTGATCCAAAGTTTAAGGTGAAGGAAGTTAAAGTGTTGGCTGATGGTGATGAATGGAGTGATGGAAGAATTGTGGTGGATGAGAAAGGTGGAAAATTAGTGAGAATTTTAAGCAGTGTGGATGGGAAGGCTTATCATAGTTTGTATGCAAAAAAGCTTGGCTATGAGGAGCAGTCAGCTAAGATTGGAAGCTTTAAGGACCAACAGAGAAAATGGAGTTATCATCACAGTGAAAACTAGACACTACTTCTCTCTCACAATAGATCCAAACTTTCTTGTTTCATATCGGAAATGACATGCTTTTGTTTTTCTTCTTTGCTTTTCTCCTTGTCTACTCTCAAGAATATGCAAAAAGATCGACCTCTGAAGCCATCTTGATCATATCAAAGGGTGATAGTGCATCACAATGTCTTAAGTTCAAGCTATTCACATATGCCAATTGTTAACTTACAAGTTATTTAATCAGATAATAAGATTATTTACCAAATAAAAGTATTTATTAAACAATTTTATTTATTAATTTATACCATTTATCTATGCACTATTTGAAGCAGTGTAAGTTTATAATTTTATATTAATTATATTTTTTCCTTAATATTATACTAGTTATTTTACAAAATAACTTATTTATCAATATACAACTATTTTAGTTATTATGCTATTTATTTTTAATTTTAATAAAAACATTTACTTTTTTAAATAAAAGTCAAATTTAATTACCAAAAAATATTTTTTATCTATGAATGGAAAATATTTTTTAATATTTTAAAATAATTCTATTCATATTTTTTTAGGACAATTCTATTCATGTTTAAAATAAACAATGTCCGACCGAAATTCAACTCGATTCTTTTATAAAAAAAATATAGTAAAAATAATTCAACTCGATTCTTTTATAAGAAATATAGGAAAACCCTAAACTCTAAACCCTAAACTCTAAAAGTAAGATTCGACTAATACAATTAACTAAATTTTCCGATAAAAATTAACGATGGAAAAAATCGACGAATATTTCACCCTATCAAACGTAAATATAAATGAAAAAAAAACAACATTAATGACCATCTCAATTTCTAATCCTTTTCTTTGGGTTAAAACCCTTATTTGATCCCTTATAATATTTTTTTTTTCAATTTAGTCTCACTTTAATTTTTGTTTCAATTTGGTCCTTAATAGTTTAAATTATTGCAATTTGAGACTTCCGTGCAAATGATTTAAACGGAGTTAATTGTTGGTCACGTGGATGCTAGGTGGATGCCACGTAGATGTCACGTAGATGCGTAAGTGGATGCCAAATTTCTTAAATACACCTGGAACCAGAACGGCTCGTTCTGAAACCAGAACGGCCCATTCTGGTTACACTATTGGTGTGTTAATTTTGTACCTAGAACGGGCCGTTCCAGATGCAAAATTAACACACCATTAGTGTAACTAGAACGGGTCGTTCTGGTCCAGAATGGTCGATGATTGTAGTTCACAGTTGTGAATCGTACAAGGAAAAAGATCCAAGGTACAAAACATTTCAAACACTAGATTTGGTAATATTGTCAATGGGGATTGATAACTTCAATTGCTAAACATTTGGGCTATACAGTGTATCATTAAGGACGATGCAGTGTATCTAAGGACAATGGTAGCAAGTTTTATTTAATTGTTAGTCAAACTGGAGTGAACCACTTACTATTAAATTGACATTATACAGTCAAGGATGAAACGAAACGGTGTTTCTCCTTGAAGTCATTGACGATGTACCCCAACAATAACAACCCGTTCTTGAGGAGGTACAACCTGAATTTTTGTGGTTTAGGGTTTCCCTTCAGCGTTACCTAGATGATTTCCTTTCTCAGTAATTTCTTTGAACTTTTTTAATATATGTTATGTTTTGAATTTTTGTTTTCAGTTTCTGAACCATATTTCTGTCTTTGAATTTATGATATGTTATGAATTTTTATTTTCAATTTTTAAATCACACTGTGGCATTGTGGTCAACGTATGCATGAAGCTGGCGTTCTGGAACGGACCGTTCTGAAACCAGAACGACCCGTTCTGGTCTCAGAACGGCCCGTTCTGCTGCACTCATGGTGTGTTAAATTTACATTTGGAACGACCTGTTCCAGTTGCAAAATTAACACATAACATGTGTAAGCAGAACGGACCATTCTGGTTTCAGGTGTATTCATGAAATTTAGCATTCACCTATGCATCTACGTGGCATCCACGTGACATTCACGTGACCAACAGTTAACTATATTTAAATCATTTGGACGGAAGTCCCAAATTGCAATAATTTAAATTATTGAGGACTAAATTGAAATAAAAAAATTAAAATAGGACTAAATTAAAAAAAATATTATAAGAGGCTAAATAAGAAATTTAAGATTCGCTTTCCTTGATAATCCAATCTTATAATAATGTCACATACACTGATTTGACTTTGAAGAATCATATCTTTCCAGGATTCCCCTTATCTCGAACACCAATTTAAAAGAATTATTTGGTGTCCCTCTCCAGTTTCATATTCCAAAATAAAGTGACTTTATACCTCCGCAATCTTCTTTATCTTTTAACCGATGAATGCATGCCAGCTAATGACTTATGGGACATTTCCATGTAATGACAACAGCCCCACTCCATCGGTTTACCTCGTCTATATCAGTTCAGGGAAGTCTAATGAAAGACAATCAATGTAACCAATATTGACTAGAGAATCACTGACCTTACCTCACTACCATTGTCCAAACTCTTTTAACTTGTCTATATCAGTTTAAGGGTTTAATAAGGATTATTTTTCTACCCCTAAAGAGAAAACATATTTGTGATTTTGAAGCTATCAATCTTCATTAAAGCATGCAAGAGATCACAAATTAGGCTGTTTCTTTATGCAAAAAAAGGTATACTTAATGGAAACATAGCTGAGTTCTCCATGAAAGATAATCCATACAATTATCAGGGACATTACATTAAAGAGAATTTTCACCAAAGAACAAGTGGATCACAAAATACTCTTACTTCCCTTTACAAATTAACATTCTTAGAACTCCATCGTTGGGATTGACCCACCAGCTGCCACTATCTGTTGCTCAAGCTGCATCAAATTAAAAATAAAAATAAAAATCATATCAAAAACAAATCCAGAACGAAACATAATGTTCTTCAGCTAGAGTTTTTGTCTGGTTACCCTGATCAGTGTCTCAAGCTTATTCTTGACATGACAGTACTCTTGCTTTACTTGTTGCAGACAACTGAGGCACCTGCACCAATTATAATATACAAATTTTTCTATGACCAAAGCTTAAAATTAGGCCTTCTTATTCAAACTTTTGTACTACTCTTCTAGAGTCTAAAATAAATAAAAAGTAGTCTGAAGATAAATAACTTACGCATCTATGTTCTGTTCCTCACAGAAGTTGCGGAAAGCAATGCAACAATTCTTTACCCTCTGTGCACCTATGCTGTGGCCAGACAGAAACTTTTGTCTCAGTAACCAACGATAGATAGCATAGTTTATAACAGAAACCGAATTTTCCTTCTAAGGTTAATAACTAAACTCGACCAGTTTATTAAGAGTTTTATTGTATGCTACTCTAATTCTTTATGAATCAAATGTACACAAACGTTGGAAAAGGAGAGACAGAATTGAATTGGACAAAGAGGTTCCTTTTTATTTAGATAATTAGATTCTTATGGTTTATACAATTTTGGTTAGTTCCAATAAAAAAGTGATAATACCTTGAGCTGCTACCCTTTAGCTGGTGAACATGAGCATCAACCTTTTTGAAGTCAATACTTTTCTGATCTCTGCAAAAGAAGGTGGAAGATCATGATGCACTTATTGTGTCTGGTTAAGAGAAAAGGGTGGTAGCAAATAGAAAACTCACAGAGCAAAGGTAAGGTCATTGAGAAGCCTCTCAGAATCTTCAAAGAAGAGTGAGACGACTTCAACTACAAAGTCGGGGTTGTTCTCATCTTGTAGCTGCTGTAGTTGTACAAATTGACCATCCAAGAAGCCCTTAAACAAGACCCACAATATCATCAACTGAAAACAACCCCAGAATTTATTACACACTATTTGTCTGTCTTACCTCCAAGAATAAGGATTTGGTGTAGTCCAAGCACTGTCTCTGCATCTGATCCACCTCCATGTTTTGGCTCACACAACACAAGCCACTACTTTTTGTTATGTTATGGCTCAATCAAAGGGAAGTATGCATGAATAAATAATTGTGAGAAATAGAGGTGCAAAATCCAAGGCCTTGTTGCTGTTGGTGCACGTCTATTATACCATCTCTTTCTGCCTGGACCCAGACTCTTTTATTCCTATCTACTCTTTGCTTTCTTGCACAATCACTGACCCCACCACCATTTGTCTTTATATATATTATCATTCTTCTCCATAATTTTTCATTTTACTCATTTCATCGTGCTCAAGAAATAATAATAACTAGATATTTTCATGTGCATTGTAGTGTAAAGAAATGTATATAATGTTAATATATTTTGAAGAGATTAAAATTATGTTAAATTATTATATTTAATAAATGTAAATTTTTTTAAAATAACAGTAAAATAATTATATATAGAATAAGTATATTTGTCATAAATTAAGAGGAGACTTTTTTATATAATATATTTATTGTGAATTTTTTATGTTTATTCTGTTGTTAACATGAATTATGAGATGAATTGAATAATTAATTTTTTTTATATATTTTAGTGATATACATTAAAGAAGAAATATGTTATGTTCATACTTTGGATTCTTGTTACACTGATTTTTAAATTTGACTCAATTATAATATGTATTGAATGATAATTAAAATTAAAGATATAAAAATAATAAAAGAAGTTACGAATAAAAAATACATGATGAATAGTATTTAAAAAATCCTAAAATTTAAACATTATTATACTTTAGATAATACATATTATTAATATTCTCAATTTATAATTGTGTAATTCATCGTTTCAGACCAATTTGTGGAGAATTTAATTAAAAGGATAAACATAATTTCTCTCTCTATATATATATATATAAAAGATTCACCCACATTCATTAAATTTTTTTAATTCAAATTCAATTACATATATATTTGTAAGTGAAATTTGATAATCTTTTTCAAATTAACATGTAATAGAAAAGTTAGGGGAGAAAAAATAACAATAAATGATGTTATTAGAAATCAAACTTACTTTTAATCATTTTTTTAAAGGATATTCGATAAACAAAATTTTCTCTTATATGTCCCTCATCAAATTATTCGTGTAGTTTTATTTTAACATTTTTCAAGCTGTCAAACAAATATATTTATCAAATTTTAATAAAAACTTTTTAACTGGTTTTTGAATGATTAAATAAGATATTACTAAACTTTTTAATTTTGAATAATTATCTAATAAATAACTTTATAGATAATAAAACTTTTTAACTTTTTTTTTAAATTTAAAATAGAAATTTACAATTTAACTCTTAACCATAAATAATTATCTAATAAATAAACTTTTTTTTATAATGATCAATTAATAATTTTGTGTATAATATCAAGATTTGTAAGTATAAATGAACAATGGTAAAAAAAAAATGAATATACAATACAATGTGCCAATAAATACCACATTGATTGTGACAACATTTTGTTTCATTTTATAAATTATAAATATAAATAGATATTTATTTTTTAAAATTATTAATAATTAAATATTATTAATTATTTTTAAAAATTAAAATCATTCTTTTAATTACACGTTAGTATATATAAATATTAATTTAATACAATTTCAAATTACTGTAATAGACATCAAAATTTTTACATAAGTTAATTAATATAATTAATAATTACATTTTATATTTATAGTTAATAATAAATAATTTCTATTTATTGTTTTTTCTATAACTGATTTTTAATCAAATTCAGTCTCTAAATTTAAAAACTAATGTAATCAATAATATATATAATTACTAATTAAATATATTTTTAATTATCAATTATTTAATACTAATTAGTTAATAATTACATATTATTAATTAATTTCTATAACTGAAATTTTAATCAAATCTAATCTCTTAATTACACATTAATATCTGTATATATAATACTAATTGAATGTATTTTTATGATTGAGTAATATAATTTATATTACAGTATGAATGCATCGATAATAAATATATATTATCTTTACAGAAAAAAAATACATATTATTTTATTTTCTGTTTATAATTAATAATAATTACATTATAATTATTATTATTTTTCTATAACTGACATTTTAATCAAATTCAATCTATTAATTACATATTAATATATATAAATATTAATTTAATGCAATTTCTAATTACCTAATACAATGTTTTGATATAAATTAATATAATTATCAATTATATAATTTTATTTTCTGTTTGTAATTAATAATAATAATTTTATATTTCTTATTTTTCTATAACTGATATTTTAATCAAATTTGGTATTTAATTTAAAATTAATGTAATCAATAATATATATAATTACTAATTGAATATAATTTCTAATTACCAGTTCTTTTACATTCATTAGTCATAAAAAAGTATCACTTAACACAATAATTACAGTTATATTTTTTTTATAAAAGTTCAAATTTTATTTGGTAATTAGAAAGAAAAATATTTTTATATATCATTTATATAAAAGAATATAAGAATTAAGTTAATGATAAAAATACATATCTTAAACTTTTAAGAGGAAAAATAATTAACAAAAGTAGTGATGCAAGAAAATAATAGAAGAAGAAAAATAAGAAATAAGAAATAAGGAGAAAAAAAGAGAGTGTGGAACATACTTTCTGACAAACGAGATGAAAAAAATAAGTTTTATAAAAATTTTAAGAATTTATTATTCTGCTACATTTTATTTTCACTTAGCATTGTCTTTACCGGATTATCAAATTAAAAATTATGTATGAGGAAAAAAGTTAAGAACAATAAAAAAATAGAAAAAATATCACGTTAGTTAACTCTCTCAATTTTGCAATTTCACTATAGTTTGGGTTGTCGAAAATTCAAAATCAAAAAGAAAAGATTAGATTAGGTTGATAAAATAATGAGTGATGTGATATAGATAGTGGTAAAAAATAATATTACAAAAATATTACTTTCAATTTATAATTCTTAAATTCTAAATCTTAAAAAAAATTAAAGAAATCATATAAATAATAAAAATGTAAATGAGAAATTGTGGAACATAAATGTTTTAGCAAAAGAGATACAAAATAAATTTTATATGAAAATTAAGAATTCATTGACTTGAGTCATATTTAATTTTCATCTAACATTGATTCCAATGAATGATGAAATCTCAAATTACATATGAAAAAAAAAATTAAGAACAATAAAGAAAATCTTTTTTAGAAGGAATATTATATTATTTAACTCTCTCAATTTTGCAATTGACGTTGTTGTATATAATTATTTAGGAGTCTTTCTTAACTTCTTATTCTTCGTATCAATCAAAACAAAATGTTAAAAATTAATTTTACAATAGAAGAATATTGTTTTGTTTGCGGAATGATTTTTTAAATCCAAAATAATATGAAGAAACAAAATTAAGAATATAGTAAGAAGAAAAAAAACAGACAATCTCTTACTCGTATATCAACTCTCTCAATTTCTTGATTTCTTGTATTTGTCATTGAAAATCACAATCATAGAGCCTTTCTCGGATTCTCGAGTAGAAGTAGGTTGGATAAGATATTTAATATTAGAGAGTTGTAAATAGAAGACATAATAATAATGAAATGACATGTTGCTAACAATAGAAGAACATTATTTTGCTTGTTTGCAAAATGATTTTCAAATTACAAATTATATGAGGAAACAAAATTAAGTTAAACGTTATAGTAAAAAAGAAAAAGAGATTATCTCATACTCAACTCTCTTATTTTCTTGATTCTACTTATATTTGTCATTAAAAATCACAATCGTAGAACCTTTATCGAATTCTCAATAGAGGTATATTGGATAAAATATTTAATATTAGATATGTAAATAAAAGGTAAAATTATAGTGAAATTGACATATTTATAACATTGAAAACTACAATTGCAAAGTTTCTTTCGAATTCTCGTATAAAGGTGACTTTTATATATTATAAATAGATACATAGTTGTTTTGACTTTATCAGAGAAGTGCAACTATAAAGATTTGGAGGATTTGGAGATGGGCATGGAGGGGTTGGTAGATGGTGAGTAGGGATGGCAACAGGGCGGGGCGGGTACGGGTTTCATGATACCTGTTCTCGTCCCTGCGAGTTAAACCCATTTCCGTCCCCGTTCCCATACCCGTCGGGTATAGATTTTCATCCTCATCCCCATCCTCGTCAGGTATCGGGTATACCCGTACCCGTACCCGTATCCGTCAATTTTTTATTTTTTATTTGTAAAAAAAATGATATTTTAAAATTATTTTTTTTATTAGATTATAATTATAATTAAGTTATTTCTTTATCTTATATTATAATAAATAATCACACATAAAAAAATATTAAATTTTTTTAATATAATTAAATTGAAAGTGAGTATTAAATTAAAAATGAGAACGGGGACGAGTATGGGTACGGGTACGGGGCGGATAAGTACATACCCGTACCCGTACTCGTACCCGATTTAATATATCGGGTTTTACCCATACCCGTATCCGTACCCGGTCAAACCGGGTATTTCCCCGTCAAAGTCGGGACGGGTTCGGGTATTACCTGCGGGTACGGGTATGTTTGCTATCCCTAATGGTGAGAGATGCTGGGAATAACGAAAGATAGGTCATTGTAATGATAGAGCAATGGGAGTGGAAGAATTATTGATATGCTTGGCAAGCATGGGAGAAGATTAACGTGAAAAAAATAGTTTATATATTTAGAATTTGTGACTATAGAGACATATTAAAATAAAAAAAAAATATTATAAAATTACACAAGAATATTTTTATTGACATAATAACATTTTAAATAGATTATAAATTGATGGTGTGGCACAAAATAACTCAACTTTTATATTATAGATAGATAGATATGTTTCATTATAACGTAATATTATTGTACTAAATAATAAATATAACATGAGATGAAAGCATCTAAATTCGTTATTATAACATTTTTCAAATGTAATTCTCTTCTTACATGATAATGTATTTTTCGTCAGCCTTTAAATATGACACTACCCACATAATTATATATTATTTCCTTTAAAATTATGAAGAAAAATATTTTTATATACATACTAGTAGGACAAATGTT